AGCTACATTGGGTTATGCTGTTGGTGTTGCCCGATTGGGCTTGGACATTGACTCACGATTCTTCTGTATCGTTCTCAAATGGATGGTTACTCGGTTCCATTGTGCTATCTGCTCTTGCTTTGACTACTTGGACTTCAGGTGATTTTGCAATCTGGATTTCTGTGCTTCGTCCATATTCATGTTCCTTACACTTCTGCAGAATGTGGAATAATACGCCACCATATGTTGTCTTTTGCGTGTTTGGTGAGTAGAGGCCCTTAGGGCCACCGCACGTATTCCTTCTTTTTTTTTTTTTTTGAAAACAAATGCTTCAGTCTATTCGTGGGGAGCAGCACGTGCTGGGAACCAGTCCCAGCGTCCCACATCGAATTGTACCGATCATTGGGAACATTTGAGATCATTTGAGATATCGGGGCCATTACCCGGCTTCGGCTGAGAACAGTCTGTGAACATGATATGATTCAGAAAGCATGGGGAGGATCATGAATATCTAATCACCTATTAAGGAACTACTCATGCAATAGGCTGCCACAAAGGTCCTATGAATGCTCACAACCCTCAGGATCCCTAACAAGCCCTTCTAAGACTTTCCAACACAGTCTTACTCCCTGCTGAGCTCTTCTAGGCCTCACGCCCCCACCCTGCTGGGTTACAATGCAACACAACTCGCGCCAGCTCCGACCAGCGTCGTCCTAGCAGCAACCCTTGGCTGCCCCTTGGGATGCCACCCCAAAGCATCCCCGGATCTCTCTACCAGGCCTCACGCTCCTGCATCATCAGGTTACAGGGCAACACCCCAGCACCGGCCAGCATTGTTCTGGCGTCCAAAAGCCGCAGATCACTGAGTATAACAGCATCGAAACCGCCTAAGATGGGTTGCTAAGAGTCCCTAGAGTCCTAAGACATTCATAAGAACAACTGACTTTTTTTCCACTATTCAGACTCTACGAAGTCACTAGAATATCCGCTGCACATATTCCTAAGAAAAGAAAAACGAGAAAAGAAAAGAAAAGCGAGAAAACAGAGAAATAGTGACCCATAACCGGATGCACAGACCTGAATTCGAATCCAGACTATATATTTTCTGCCCACCCTCATGGAGTAGAAGTTTGAAGTGTTTCTCTCAATGACGTCAGGTCCTAGCTAATATGCTGTAGGGATCCTTCCGAAAAGAGGCTGGACACAACTAGGACGTTTTTATTTTTCTACTTTTTTAATGCGCCACACCACTTGTGCGTGTGTGCATGTGCGTGCGGCACCCCCGCGCATGAGATGCGCCGCAAGTATGATTCGAACACGTCTCTCTCTCTCTCTCTCTCTCTCTCTCTCTCTCTCTCACACACACACACACACACACACACACACACACACACACACACACACACACACACACACACACACACACACACACACACACACACTGTTACATGCCCAGTTGGGCGATGTACATATAAACCGAGGATCCTCAATGTGATAAAAAGGACTGAATGGGCAATGCAATGTACGTGAAATCTCAACAAGCAATGTGCATTCCGATACATACAAAGTGGTGCTTTTCAGCGCAGTGGAAGACTTAAGTACAAGTCCTGACCTGACCGGGACTGACCCCTTTCACGTAGTACAAGATAGCGTAGCAGAATGATAGAATATCAATGTCTAGCCCACTCACTGTTGCACGCAGACTAAACATGCATCATTATCATCACAAGGTGTGAAGAGACCTGGCGCTGCACACAGGAAGAAGGCGCCAGGCCCTGATCATGCACAGACGAAGAGGAGGGGAACAGACGAAGAGGAGGGGGAGAGATGGGAATGTCGTCAACACAAGTCTTTGTCACAAGTCCCAAATAATCCCTCGTCAAAATGTCTGAAGTCCAAATGTCGAGTCTGGATCCAATATCACCAAGCTCTCTCTTTCCCTCGTAGTCTGCTGATGCAGTGAAGTCAGATAGTGAGAGGGTGAGAGGGAGACAGTGGACTGAGAAGAGGAAGAAGAAGAACTCTCTCTCTCTCTCGTATGCCAGGTACTAACCTGTGAAGATGGCGCTGTGCTGCAGGTACCTCGAAGACGAAGCTGGAACAACGGTGCTGCAGGTAAGTATCCCTGGCCTCCGCCCAATCTCTCCCTCTCTAGTACTACTCTAGCTATGGCGCCCAGCGCTGAAGACTACAGCTAACGCTACTAGCGCCCAGCGCTGAAGACTACTGCTAACGCTACACTACTCCTGCAGCGCTCCTCCAGAGTGCTGCTGCCGAATCCTGAAGACTACTGACTGCCTTCTGCCTGCACGTGAAGTGCCTGGGAAGTACATAGGAACTACCTAGCAACTACCTAGCAACTACCTGCAGCTTGCAGGGCGTGCCAGTCTTATATAGTGCTGGCCCGTCCAGGAGGCTGCTCTTGCCAATGCCAAAACGTGCCAGACCCTGGGGTTGAAGCTCAAACAAAGGTTGTCTTGAAAATAGGCCAAAAATGGCCTGAGCTAAAACCCTGGTCTGGTGCCTGAGTTTCAGGGAAGGTCGATCTGATGAGAGCCTGAAAATGGCCCTCAGTTTCAGGCTGAAAATACTCAGCGCCGGAAAGGCCCTGATCTAGCCTGAAACGACACAGGGCCTGTAGGCCCTGGTTTTCAGGCTTTCAGGCTGAAACGACACAGGGCCTGTAGGCCCTTGTTTTCAGGCTTTTAGGCTGAAAACGACACAGGGCCTGTAGGCCCTCGTTTTCAGGCTTTCAGGCTGAAAACGACACGGGCCTGAAAATGGCCCGTGCAGCCTGTTGCAGGCGCAGCATGTCACACACACACACACACACAAAGGGGGTCCGAAAGGGGGTCGAAATACCCTGACAGGTGAGTGCGCTGGGGGGGCCCGGCACCCAACTGGGTGCCCTGCCCGGCCAGGCCGCCCAGGACCTCCCCCGGGCCCCTGCCGGTCACCCGGGCGGCCCGGATCCCCACTCAGTATAAAGTTAGATTTGCTTACCAAGAGCCCGAGGACGATCGTTGGTGTACGCCGTTAACCTTTGCAGATTCATCATCCATTGATTGATGATGCATCTTTCAGCCTTCGACTGATTGCTTGCACTTTCAGGTTTTCTATTTCACTCCCGTTCTTAGGGTTCTTTTCACCTTTACGCGAACAGAACTTCTAGAAACAGCTCCCGACATAGTTCGTGCCTATGAAAGAGCTGAGAAAGGTAAATATCCTGCTATTCTTGGAGGACCTTGAATTTAGGCCGGGGGAAGTGAAACGGTTTTCACCTTTGAGGTAGCAGTTGCAGATCCCAGAGCCTGATCCCTAGACCTCGCCCTTACCCGTGTACAGTACCGATGACCTGTGTGTGCTTGAACCCACGACCTGTGTTTTGAAAGCCGCCTGTTTGTTGCTGTAGGCAGGGTGGTCGTCGGGTCTTGAACCGTAGGTCTGTAGGTTAGAGGTCTTAGCAGTGGTAGGAGTCGTAGCTGCTACAGTGTTGAAAGGTCAAGTCGTAGCTGCTACAGCACTGAGGGGTCAAGCCACAGTCTTCCGGAAGTTCCGGAACTGGCCCTTCGTGAGTCACAGTAGTCAGCCCGTAGCTAAGTGGTCAAGTGGGCAGTCTTACCTTGCTTAGTCGGCGGTACCCAGTCCCAGTCGCACCTTGTCAAGTCAGCAAGTACCATGTGGGACTGTGTGCACCCCGGGCCCGGTGGAGAGGGGCAGACCAGCGACAATCCCAAGTATAAATAAAGAGGCAGCGATCAGTCAAGGATTCATTCTGCCTGTGAGCCGTGTGGAAGCGCTGTCGAAGTGTGTTGTGTGCGGAGGTCTGCAGGTGCCCGTTGACTAAGAGGGCTAAGAGGAGGAACATCGGCCATAGCCAGTACTTAGTGAGTAGAAGAGAGAGACGCGGCCATAGCTGCCACATCAGCAAGGTTAGAGTGTGTGTGTGTGTGCACGTGTGAAGTGTGTGTGTGTGTGCGGGACATCCAGGGAGATCCGGGGTGTGTGTACGAACCAGTTGCTGAGAGTGTGGTGTACGGCCATAGCCGTACGAGACAAGTTCAATCTGAACTGCGTTCTTGGCTACGTTAACTCTGAGTTTTGTGTGGGCGCAAGTTGCCAGCTTGATCGTCATGTGTTTGTACGCATGCTGAGTGACGAGAAAGACGAGTCTGATTGTACTTTACAAAATAAAGACAAAAAGAATCCTAGACTCCTCCTAGTCTGGGGAGCAGCAGTCGGTTCCTTTTCCACCGGCAAGCCAGAAAGGAATACAATTTGACTCAGCCCCCCATGTTACGGCCCGGAGGACCCTGCCAGCATTAATTAATTCCCCGCGGGAAGGATTGACTACCAGTTCAACCTACTCGACAGTCCATCCCCCCATCCTCACAGTTGTAACCCTCCGAAAAAACATACTGAGCAAGCCATTAATTCATTCTCCAGTTCTTTTCTGCCGTTTTGTCCATATATGTGCAAACTTGATTACATACTGTTCTTTTGCTGGCCAGTGTACTGGTTTTCTTCTGTATGTTTTTGGGCATGCATGTGTGCTTTGCATCCTTCATCACGCTCAACTCTCTTGTTGTTGTTTGACCATCATGTGCTCTGCTCTTTCGAAATTACATTCGTTTCAGGCATTGTGGTGGTGAGTGTCCCTTGGACGAGATGTCTTGGGTCAAGAGCGAGGTGTTTGCGTTTGGAGTGTTGCTTCTCGAGCTGATAACTGGACATCACGCTGCTCATTCACAGAGCACACAAGGTCGTCATCGTCTTGTTGCATGGGTAAGCATTTTCATTCTCCAAGAATTGAACAAAATGTGAGGTCTTTTGCCCATCATGCAGCAGTTAGTAAGTTCCTGTTATCCCCTGAGTATCCATCTACTATGAATTCCAAAATTTAGAGAAAGCTTATCAATGCACGCCAAGCCTGCTGGCCGAATTTTGAATTTTTATAATCTCCCAATCCCGATGTTAGTGCAATCGGTGGTTGAAAACAAGTGTTTGGGTATCAAAACAAGTGTTTGGGCATCCAATAGTGCGACACCGGTGGTCGAAAACAAGTGTTTGGGCATCCAATAGTGCGACACCCGCTGACTCAAGCTCAGGTGCCTCTACGCGCACGAATGCTGTCTTAACTTGGATTTCGATTGTCCGATAATGCAAATGTCAGTCAAACACGAGCTTGGGCAATCAACGTTGCTATTTTTTCCAACACTCATGCCTGAAAACTTCTTTGAGGCAGAGAGAGATAGATAGATAGATAGATAGAGAGAGAGAGAGAGAGAGAGAGAGAGAGAGAGAGAGAGAGAGAAAGAGAGAGAGAGAGAGAGCAGTCCTGCCCTCCTGAGTCTCTGAGTGTCCACTGTGAAGATGGGGATGCCATGGCTTCCCTGTACTTCTGCCCTCGTACCCCTAGCCTCCCTAGTGAGAGAGGGAGGCACAGAGAGAGAGAGAGAGAGCGAGGGCGTAATGCACGCGCGCGCAAGAGAGAGAGAGAGAGAGAGAGAGAGAGAGAGAGAGAGAGAGAGAGAGAGAGAGAGAGAGAGAGAGAGAGAGAGGGTCACGAAGAGATCTGGGCAAGGTCCTGCACGCGTGGGAGTTCGACGCGCGCACAAGTGCAAGAGAGAGAGAGAGAGAGAGAGAGAGAGAGAGAGAGAGAGAGAGAGAGAGAGAGAGAGAGAGAGAGAGAGAGAGATGGGTGTGTACGCGTTCCATGGTAAAGTACAAAGACATGGTGGACCTTGCACCTCTCAGAATACAACAATGAACAACGGCCATTACAATTATCAAAATGCAATCAGACTCACTTTCGTTCACACTCCACATGCATGTAAACAGGTTGCGCAGCAAATTGGCGAGAAGCGCCCACTCAAAACCTAGAGATAAAGTAACCAAGAACACAGTTCAGATACGAGCTCACTTCAGATGGCTATGGCGCATCAGCGCCTATACAACTCTCTGTTCGTCACACACACACAGGATCACCCTGGATATCCCACACGCATCACACTGTACACACACGCACACACACACACTCTACACTCTCCTATCAGCTATGGCGGCTATGGACGCTACTACCCCTATCCTTCTCGCCCACTTCGTCTTCGGGCTCGCTGGAGACCTCCTCACACAAGTCGTTGTGGCAGCGCTTCCCCATGGCTTACCCAGGAATGAATGAATGGCTGGGCGCTGCCTCTTGATTTATACTTTTGTAGCTCGTTGGTCTGCCCCTTTTCCCATGCCCCTGGTGCACGCAGTTCCACACGATACTTGCTTGACTGGATGGTGACTGACTGGAACCGGTACCACGGACTGCATTGGTTTGCACCGCGAACTCAATGTAGTCGCACTGCCGATGTACCGCAGTTGGGCTCACCACTTGCCCACTTGCCTCTGCCTAAACGTGAGTCATACTTCGAAAGGCCACTACTGGGACCTTCCAGAAGGCTGGAGACTTGGCCTTTCGAACACTGTAGCAGCTACGACCTTGACCTTTCAGGACTGCAGCAGCTACGACCTTGACTTCCCAGGACACCTACAGCTACGACCTCTAGGCCTCACTAAGACCTCTATCCAACAGGTCTACAGATCGAACCCCCACCAACCTACGGACCTACGACAGCCTACCAACTGTTGTGAATACACAGGTCACGGGTTCAACTCTCGGGGTCGACACAAATACTGTACATGGGCAAGGTAAGAACTAGGGATCGAGCCCTGGGATCTGCATTCGCTACTTTGATAGGTGCCACAACTCCCCCATCCGAAGTCTCACTGGCCCCATCATGCTCTGTCTCCTCCCCAAAGTTTGGGAAATCGTCAATTTCTGTCGTCTGACCATCATGGTCGACGAACATTAGTTGACCTTTCTCTTTCCAGTCCTGGGGTAGCCTCTTCTTCCTACCATCACCCTGACTCTGATGTGCAGACCCCAACGTAGCCTTTATGTCTAAGTCTTTCTTGCTGAAAGAGGCGAAGTTATGCTGATCGACATAAGCCTCGTCTACTAGCTTTGTCCTCACCTCTGAAGGCAGACATCTAAGGTAATCCGTAAGGAGTACCTGCTGGTCATAGCGCACGCCAGGAACCACGAGCAGACGTTCTACGGTGTTTGTCAGCTCTCTAACATTCTTGTACCTTCTGGAACAAAGACTGTTGATAGCATCAGTGGCCTTTTGAGCCCCTTGCGGGTCATGCCACCTGTTGTAGACGGACCTTACGAACTGTTCCAATGTTTGGGCCCGGGCCCAGGCATCGAAATCCTGACCGTAGCCCTGCTGCTGCACTAGGCCATTCAACCAGCGGGCTGCTGACCCCTCTAGAAAGGAGGCAGCCACAACTTCTTGCTCTGGCCTGGTAGGTTTGTGCCTCACATAGGTAGGCACCGTTCTTACCCAGGTATCCAAGTCCTCATCCTTCTTCCTGTCGCCGGAGAAGGGCTTAGGACTCAGCAAGCGTATTTTGGGCATCCACTGCATCAGTTGCATAGGCTGCATGGGCCCAGGGGGTTGCTGCAGCGGCTGCATAGCCACTGAAACAGGCTGTTGCACACTAACTTGGGCCTGGCTTGACAGTGGGACTGTAGTGACCACTGTCATGGATGACCACTGTTATGGATGGTACGGCTGAAACTCTATGAACCGGACCACTAGTTGCTACCAAACCACCTGGAGGGGGAATGCCAAACATAGGTGAGAATGGAGGCCCTACCGGCGGCAGTGTCACTGATGGACCTGCGCCTGGAGGGGGAGCTACAGCATACTGTGGCTGCCTCATCATGGGACGAGGAGCCCATAGTGCAGCCAGAATCTCTTTCTGGCCTGCCATTGGTTCAGCCAACACTTCCTGCTGGACAGCTTGCGTTTCCGCCACACAAAGAAGTGAGTTACGCAGCGCTCGTATCGCAGGATCAAGTGTTGACTCATCTAATGCTTCCAGTCTGCCTAGCTCCTCTCTTCTACTACCTAGTCTAGCTTTTCTCAGGATTGCTCTCCTTCTCCTCTCTGCTGCCTCATCCAATTGCAACTGTAGCTCATCCTGAAGTTCTTCTGCTTGGAGGATCTCATAATCCTCCGGCGTGAGTTGAGTCTGCTGGCAGACTCGCAAGCCAGCACTCTGGCTAATGGACCCCTGAGAACCACTCTGGCGTACTCCTGACGAAGTGGACTGTGAAGAGGTTTGCGACATGGTAGATGAAGTGGCCATGGTTATACCGATGCTTGCTATAGTTCTAGTCCTGGCACTATCCTCAGCCACCCTCACTCTCCTTGCTGCTGCTCTCTCTCTAGCCTCTCTCCGCAATCTCCTCTCGTCTCCTGGACCTAACTCCAAGAATGTCAAAGGTTGACTGCGAGCAGTCCCACGAGTAGTCCTACGGCCGTGAGAGCAGGTTAACCGAGCACCCATTTTTCAGGCCCATTTATAAGAAAACCAGACAGTCATTTTAACAACACTTCACACCAATCTATAGAGTGCACTTCTTACAGAAAAAAAACCTAAAAAAAACAATTAAAAACATATAAAACAGCAAGCCAAAGGTGCATTTCCATGAAATTCAGCCCAAAAAAAACTCGACTAATTTCAGAAATTTCAGAAATCTTAATAGCGCAAATTCTAAAACTCCAAATAACCCCAAATTTCATATACGGCAACCCTATCAAAATGCATATATAGCAAAAACTTGAAATTCCAAAAACACATGAAATTTGAGCCCAAAACCCTAATTTCAGAAATTTCAGGCCTGAAAACCAGATGCCCCGTTAACCTCTTGTGACGGCCGTCCACTAACGACTCCTTACTTGTGCTTGCATCACTCATGAGCTACAGCGTGTGTGATCTAAACTAGAATCCACACTGAATCCTACCTTAGCTTGACACACAACCGAGTATAATACACAACTAATTTCGGTCGGCCTGAACAGAAACAGTTAGGTGATGTAGCAACAACTAATGTCAGATCCTACAGGAAATATTATATTTATTTTTAGATTAACCTCGAAAAGATTGCTGTGCAGCAAAGATATAGTCTATCTGCAGCTATCTGTCAGATTTTAGTCAAGTGTGTAACAACTGGATAATGAAAGATAAAAATAGTATCTCCTATTGGAGATGTATGCTTCATGGCAGATTGTCTATTTATTGCCACTGCAACCAGTTACCGGAATCCCCGCTCCCCCTGTATCCTTCTTGAGTTGTCTCTTTGTGTCGACGCCCTGAGCATCTGGTTGAGCAGCGTGTCTGAAGGTGTGCAATCCGGCCCACCCCTGTGGCCCAAGTCAACGCCGAACCTGCCAGCCCCTGCACATTATTTACCATCGCATGCAACGAGCCTTACACCCGGTTTGATCTGGCTGATCAGGAGGCATTTAAGGAGATCCCCCGTAACTCCTCAGGAATTATTTAACACCGCAGACAGGACGACGATCACCCGTAACTCCTCAGGAATTATTTAACACCGAGTCCCCACCAGAAATATTTAAAGACGGTCTGGTAAGCGTCTGTCAAAGGGCTGGCATGCCCTGCATGACCTCTATTGCACAAGCAGCAGAACCAAGGACTTGCGGCAAAGCATGCGTGTACTAGTCCCAGCGGGTTGGCATGGTGACCGTGACCCGAGTGCTTCGTCCAGGGCCCTTCAGAGGCTTCGCCCGTCTCCCACCAGCTTGCTGCCCAGGAAGAATGTCGACTCTCAAGGTTGAGCGCTCGCGACACCTCACATTGAGAGGACTCTCAAGACAGAACTCACTTCCTCACGGTAAGAAGCAATGAAGAGGGTAGATAAG